AAAAAAAAAAAAAAAAAAAAAAAAAAAAAAAGAAATGAATTTTTCTAATAATGCATTATACACATCTGATTTGGTCTTTCTTTCTCATATATTTAAGATGAAAAAAATAAAATGTCAATTGTTAACTTTTCTCTAAGGGATTAGAGGACAAAAGTCTGTTGTGTTTTTAATCAATTTATGAGAACAGCTGTAGGTAATTAATTTAGTATCTTTAAAATAATAAAACTAGAGACAATGGTGGTCATACACGAAAGAATTTTTTAAAACAATGGCAAAAAAAAAAAAGAGAGAGAAAATCAGGCTGCTTTCAGAGAGTTCAATGTTTCAAAGCCTTACTCCCTTCAAATCAATTAACTGATGGCACAGAATAGTATAACTTCAAATGCAAAATAAAGGGGATCAGAGGAATTTCTTACTTAACCATGAAGATTGTTTCCACATAATGTTGGCACCAATAAAAATAGGAAAGTAGAAACCCAAGATCACCACAAAAAATCTCAAATTGAAAAAAAAATTTCCCACAGTATTTTAGGCCTTAAACTTTTCTTACTTTAAGAATTATCACATACATTTTTGTCAGTCGCATGGTATACTTTAAAAAAAAATGTTTTCTCATTATTTGATGAGGTACGATTTTCCATAAAGTTACTAGCATAAAGATTAAACTGTTAAACAACAGTATTTATATATTAATAATGGCCATTATCATTTTAATTAAATATAAAATATCTAAAACATGATGAAAACAGAATCTATTTTATTATTATGAACATTCAATTAGTATATCACGGTTAAATGCAAGAACTGTCTGAGAGTTAAAAGAGAAAACTTAAGATGTCTAGTTGTCTATTCCAACCATAGCGGTTAAAGTTATAAGTACTCAAACAAAACAAACAATTATATACTATAAGCCTAGAAACCTGCCACTTTTCTTTTATAAGCATTAAAAGCAAATACTAAACTCCATGTAGCAATGTGTATGCATTTGTCAAATGATAACAATGCAAAGCAACAGGACTTGGAAAGCCCAAGGCTATTATTCTTGTTTCTGAGACATTCCCTTGCTTAATAGATTTCTCTCTTCCTGTACCATTTAGTGTGAACCACAAAACTGAGCAAATACCTCCACCTAGTGGAATTAATCTTTAAAAGAAAAACCAATGCAAATTTGGGGATTAATTTACAAAAGTGAGATCATTTGAGTAAGAATTTTCTTAAATACATTACTAAAAGTGAGTTTGTAGAAAGGACTTTCAGCTCGGTGAGGCTGTTGGACTCTTCTGTAGGAACATAAATTCCTTGTGGTCAACATAGAACTTTGTGTAACAAAGATTACTTACAGTTTGCTATGTTTATTCACTGAATGAATTTTATATCCCTGTGTGCTCTATCTGGGTTACACAAAATCATTTGGATAATTCTGGACTCGCCAATGCTAAACTATATTTCAACAAATGGCATGATCTATTGAGAAAACAAGCAGAAAGTCTATGTTGATTGCCTCACTTACCATTATCATGCCCTAAGCTGGTGGAATCATAAGTCATCTGTCCATTATGACAACATATTTCTTACATGTTTCAAAATATCCTAGTTAAGAGCAAAGCTACTAGCCCAAAGGAAGAATAATGCCCAAGTTTATCCCAGGAATCTGAGCCTTGCTTGGGGGATTTGGCTTAAAATGGAATCTTGACTTGCATATTCTAACACAACTTTTTTCCCAACCTCCAGAATAATGTCTTTAAGGGACACAAAGAAAGACAAAGTCTCAAAGACAAACTCTAAGGCTTGGCAGCTTTCATATTCCCAGAATCCAGAAGAATTTTCTGCCAAAAACAAGGTAGACAGACTTGAATTGGAAAATAAAATCTATAGGTCCACTGGAAAGTTTGTTTTTTAAAAGATGCATATCCTTTCTACATTATCTGCCCTAGGATTCAAAATGTGAAATCTATAATAATCAGAAGGCTAGTGGCTGGCCACTCACGTCACAACTAAATGAATGCTACTAATTTCATTTTATCTATTTCTACTTACAAAAGTAATACATTATTGTTGTGGAAAATCTAGGAATATAAGACAAACATATCATCCACATCATATATCACTAAGATCTTATCATTCAGAGATAATCACTGACATCTTGGGGTATAGCCTATCAATCTTTGCTCTTGACATGTGTTGGAATTCTTTAAACAAAAGTAGTACCATGACTCCTGCTTGCAGGGCACAGAGAAGGCACCTAGACCTATCCCCACCAGCATGCCTTAAGTCAATACCACCTCCAGCACAGTCTTCAGTAGGGGCTCATGCACCCTCCAGCTGCACTGCCTCTGCACTGTGGTGAGTGTCTGCAGGGAGGCAGGCACCTCAGCACCTGCTAGCACTTTGCTGCAGTTGCCACACCTCTTTCCCCCTCCCCCACTCAGTGGATTCCAAACCTCAAGGAGCAAGAGAATAAAATCAGGGCCCAATACAAGTACCCTAGACTTAGAGCACACAGTCCAGGAGTTGAGAGTTGAGCACTGGCCCCCTAAAATCTCTCAGAAGTAAAGCCAGTCAGCTGAATCCACTTTATACCACAGTCAAACCCTCAAAGTCATCAAATAGGATAAAAGGAAAAGAAAACAAACCCATCCAAAGGTCAGCAACCTCAAAAATTGAAAGTAGATAAGCCCACCAGGGTGAGAAAGAATAGCATAAGAATGATGAAAACTCAAAAAGCCAGAGTGCATTTTTCCCTCTAAATGACCACGCCACTTCTCCAGCAAGAGTTCTGAACTGGGCTGAGAAGGCTAAAATGACAGAAATAGAATTCAGAATAGGGATAAGAACAAAGATCATTGAGTTACGGGAGTACAGTGAAGCCCAATGCAGAGAAGCTAAAAATCATGATAAATCAATGCAGGTTCTGACAGACAAAGTAGACAGTAAGAAAAGAACGTAACTAACCTGATGGAACTGAAAAACACAATACAAGAATTTCATTATGTAATCACAAGTATTATCAGCAGAATAGACCAAGTGGAGGGAAGAATCTCGAGCTTGAAGACTGGCTTTCTGAAATAAGACAGTCAGACAAGAATAGAGAAAAAAGAATGAAAAGGAATTTACAAAACCTGTGAGAAATATGGGATTAGATAAACAGATGGAATCCATGACTCATTGGTGTCCTTGAAAGAGATGGGGAGAATGGAAGAAACATGGAAAACATACTTCAGGATATCATCAAAAGAACTTCTCCAATCTAGCTAGAGGGGGAAATATTCAAATTCAGAAAATTCAGAGAACCCCAGTAAGGTACTTCACAAGAAGATCATCTCCAAGATACATAATCATCAGATTCTCCAAGATTAAAATGAAAGAAAAACTGTTAAGGGCAGCTAGAGAGAATGGTCAGATCACCTATTAAGGTAAATCCATCAGACTAGTAGTAGACCTTTCAGCAGAAACTCTACAAGCCAGAAAAGACTGGGGGCCCATATTCAACATTCTTAAAGAAAATAAAATCCAAAACAGAATTTCCTATTTGGCCAAACCAAGATTCATAAGCAAAAAAGAAATAACATCCTTTTCGGACAAGCAAATGCTGATGGAATTTTTTACAATCAGATCTGACTTACAAGCGCTCCTACAGGAAGCACTAAATGTGGAAAGACCGTTACCAGCCACTACAAAAACACATTGAAGTACATAGACTAGTGACACTATGAAGCAACCACAGAAACAAGTCTGCAAAATAACTAGCTAAAATTATAGTGACAGGATCAAATCCACACATATCAATACCAACTTTGAAGGTAAATGGGGTAATGCCACAACTAAAAGACACAGAGTAGCAAGCTGGATAAAGAACCAAAACGCATTAGTATGCTGTCTTCAAGAGACAAGTCTCACAAGCAATGGCATAAATAGGCTCAAAATAAAGGAATGGAGAAAAATCTACTAAGCAAATGGAAAATAGAAAAAAAAAAAAACAGAGATTACAATCCTGCAATCCTAGTTTCTAACAAAACAGCCTTTAAACAAAGATTAAAAAAAAAATGACGAAAAAGGCATTACATAATGGGAAAGGGTTCAATTCAACAAGATCTAATTATCCTAAATATACATGCACCCAAAAGAGGCACATACAGATTCACAAAGTAAGTTCTTAGAGACCTTCAAAGAGATGTAAATTCCTACACATTAATAGTGGGAGACTTTAACACCCTACTGACAATATTAGACAGATCATTGAGACAGAAATTAACAAAGATATTCAGGACATCAGCTCAGCACTAAATCAAATGGAACTGATGAATATCTGTAGAACTGTCTACTCCAAAATAACACAATGTATGTTCTTCTTAATGTCACCTGTTACATACTCTGAAATAGACCACATAATCAGAAGTAAAACACTCCTCAGCAAAAGCAAAATAACTGATATCATAAAAACAATATCTTGGACCAAAGCATAATCAAATTAGAAATCAAAACTAAACAATTCACTCAAAACCATACAACTACAAGGAAATTGAATAATCTGCTCCTGAATGACTTTTCAGTAAAAATGAAATTAAAGCAGACATCTTTAAAACTAAAGAAAACAAATATACAATATGCCAGAATCTCTGAGACACAGCAAAGGCAGTGTTGAGGGAAATTTATAGCTCTAAATGCCCATACCAAAAAGTTGGATGAATCTAA